AAATACTGGGTTGAACATTATTGCTATAATCCTGATACGTTACTCTCCACTAAGTGAAATCTGAAAATGCTATTTCTGTGGCTTATATGAGATTTAATATTTTAGACAAACATCCTTTCTGTGCGGAATAGAAAATCAGCTCGATGCTGTAATTTTCTCTTATTCTCTGAATGTGAAGACGGGTTTTGGGGCTAAATGTCGTGTATATAAACCTTAAAACACTTGAATATTGACATGACAAACCCCCCTAAAGGTGTATATTGTATAGATTTAGGACTAGGTTATCGGGTAAATGAAACTAATAGCCTTTTTTTTTCTCTACAAGAATGTTTAAAAGATATATTTAATAATACATCTGCATTAAATATTATATAATATACTGAATAATTTATTTCGTATGAAACAGTAAAGTAGTAAATGATTTTAACGGCACGTTGTACCCACATCGTTATACTGTAAATGAAATCGCTTTGTAATGTGGTTAAACAGACAAAAAAGGGGACATTACGAGCAAATGTAAACGATGAAATAAACATAACCTACAGTATGTGCATGAGATCTCAGTAAATCAGTATTCAATGTATAAACATTTTAAATCTCTAACGTGCTTCGTGGTTTATATACTGTATGCAGTACATAACATTTTGTAAGCATGTTGCACCCTCATTTACCTTTGAGATAAAATGAGCAACCGTTTTACACAACCCAAAGAAAACAATGTACGGTCCAGTATATCGCGTGGTACCTAATAATGAGTTAACATGTTTTTGTCGCCGGAGAGCTGGACGCTCTTCACTGAAAGTTATGAGAAGAGAACTCTCCGTGGTGCTGATCGATTCAAGCCTCAAGAGACCGTGGATCGCGAACAGACTAACAGAGACGTCTCACGGGCGATATAATGGCGATGGAAGCTCTTATAACATGTATATAAAAACGGGCATTTTAAATAATATATATTTTACATTTTCCTAACCATAATAGGTTCTTAAGAAACAAATACGGAAATTTTCATATAGCAGATTGTTGTTAATCGTCTGATATAATATAGTAACCTCAGTTTCTCTGTCTTGTGATGGATGTGTAAAATGTAAATTTACACGAGCTATAATTTACAAACATGGCATTCTACTATACAATACAATACATGACTACATCGTGTTATGACTATTAGATTTACACGTTTTCATAAATGGCATATTTCCATGACCTACCTGTAGTTCAGTCAATTGTAACAAATGCAAAAATAAAGGTGTGCATTTGTCCTCATTCTGTACATAACATACAAAATAATTAAATACAATCTGTTTTTCCAGTTGCATTAATATAGAGCATTGCATATGGAATGCTTATTTTATCTGCCTTCAGCGATAGTGAAGCAGAGCTCTTCATTTTTTTTTAACTGTTCAAGGCTGTCTTGTTTTCTGTTTTAATTTCTGCACAGGATTAATAAAATGAATTTATGGGTATGTTTAACTTTATGAAAGAAGTCTAACTCAAATAGGAAGGCCTCTTCTTCTTCTTTCTGAAATGTCAGATTATAAATAGCTGGACCCTACTACTGAACACATCAGGGGGTCTTATTGACCTTTCCAAAGTCCAGAGGGCTATAGACAAGGTTCTGAAGGTGTTTTAAAGTTAGGGCTAAACTAATTTGAATGTCATTATTCTGTTACTATTTATGATCACTTGTAGAAAGGTGTTTTGAAGACATTTTACTGAGTCTACACTTTACTCTCACTTAGCAACACATAATCCACGTTTACTTTGGAGCCTTGCGTAACATGGAAAGCACAAATGGACTTGCTGGCTTGTGGTAGTGTGTAGGCTCTTCTCCTGCCTACACAAAATGAGCACACTTAGTCTGTGAGGTTCTGGAGAACCCTTTTCTTCAGGCACAATTAAGCCACCTGTTATTGTCTTTCACTGGTTCTTTGGGGTCCTTGAAGAAGCAGCTAAGTATTACTTTTATCTGCTATTTTGGATTAGAGTTTGTGATAATTATAAAGGCCTTTAGAACCTCTGTTTTTAAAGCCAAATGCACAAAGGAGTTCTGGAAAACACCTGTGCAGGGCCTTTTTCAAGGGAAAGGGTGCCCCACTTGAGGTCAGCAGCTCAGTTTTGGGCTTGGTGACCAGCCAGCCCTTCGCAGAGTTGAGACATCTTAATTTCCCATGGTGCCTTTGGTAGTGGGGTACATTTTATCGAGCACTATACTAACAAGCCACCAGCAGTGACCACATGTCTGGAACTGTGAGGAGGTTTTCCAAAAAAAGACTTCAATCTACCTGAGCTTGAGTTCATAGCATCTATTAAGTGGAAGATGAGAAGTAAATCAGGACACTACTATGGGACCACCATGGTCTCTAACCTGGCATGATCCAAACTGGGAATTCCCTTATTTCCTAGGGACAAGTGACTGCTTTGTTAGCTCGATATTTATTAATACATAATGAAGTTGAACAAATGTGCTCTTTCCGTATTCATTCATAGTCATGAGACATGATATCGATTAAATTACACAACCCATAATACAGTAGGACCATGGTGGAAAAAAGTGATATTGCTCTGCTGAGTGGAAAGAGCAAAATATTCTACTTCTGAAGCTTTCCTACACGACTCAGAGATCAGGGTGAAACTCTACGACTACCCAAAGAATGTAGATTTATCAAGGTGAATGCATTGTGCATGAAGTGGACATGATGGCATATTTTAAGATTGTGTAAGTACTAGACTCATTATGCACATTGGAATGAGTAAAGTTAAGTATTAAGACTTACTGTACAGTATCTGTAGCGAAAAATGTATTGATTTTACATTAAGTACAGGACTGGATACCAGAAAATAAATCATTCAAATGTCATGATATAGTACTACACATCAACTTTCAGAATATAATATACAGTATATGTAGTTTTCGAAGTGGTTTGAGTGTTGACAAATTAATGTGATCTGAGGTTTGTGACCAAACTCCCTGTACCTTCACTAACCAATAGGACTGAGCTTTAAAGCAGTCCTTTTCAGGGGAAATTCAACTCATGGTCAGAAGAGCTGAGATCCTCACTCCAATTCTGCACTTCTGCAACTCAGTCCAGTAGTGAGTGAGATTTCTATAGCAATAGTATTCGTTGTAGCTGTGATTTAGGTACTGCAGTACAGTATTGTCACAGAGCCTGATCTTCAAGTGATGACATTAAAAACATTAAGACTTAAAATGACAGAAAAAGACCTTAGAAGAGAGACAGAGATCTTTCTTATTGAAAGGCAAACACGCAAGATTTGTACCATTTAAAGCTTCATTTTTTCTTTTTAACCAGCTGAAAAAAATATTTTATCGATAATGCCCTGAACCAAATAAAAAAACATTGGGTACTCAATGTTAAATTCATACAAAATCCCTTTGAAGTTTTCCTTTGGACTCAGAGAGCCACATTTTTCCATGATACTCCAGTACATTCTTGGCATAGACTAATTGTGAAACCATGGAGCCTGAAGGTTTGTATCAGACTTAAACTGACCTTGTTCTTCACCATTTGCCACTGCATAAACTAGATTCCGTGACATAAAACACCATTATTATTTAATTAAATTATTCTATGTGTTTTTTTTAAATGTTGTTATAGTGAAAGAAAATATAATAAATAGTTTTGTAGAATGATTATAATATTTTGTGTAGAAGGTCAAACAGACAAAAAAGCTTAACTTTAAAAAAAAGAAAGTTTAGGTTTTAAACCAGAGCCCTAAAAATGACCATTGTGATCTGTGAAGTGCTCAGCCAACCCTCACGGTGAGATATTACAAAGCCTCTGAATTGTTTAATCCAGAAGACACTTGAAACCATCTAATCTTCACCTAATGGGATTTCTGTGAGACCCTGGCTTTCACTCAATATTCTGGCTGAGAAGATTCGTTAGAAATGAATTACATTGCCTTATATCGACATGTTCTTGAATGACAACTCTTGAATGGTCGCTACTAAACAATATCAAGTTCATTTCGACTCGCCTTTTAAAACTAACTTGACAGAAATGTGCTCTGTTGCTCTATAAGTAGAATTTCCAGATAGGCTGAGAAGAAACCGCACGACAGAAAACGCGAACATGAAACTTTCTGGAGACCATAACTTCTGTGTATGATGTTACCAACAGCTTCAGCTGAGATAGTTATAGTTAATGCTCGGCTGTTTGAAAGGTTTAAACAAAAGATTCATTCTAAATCGAACGATCATTTGATTAAATTAAACACTTCATGTCCAAACTTACTACTTTTTTTCCCCATTAAAATGCAGCAGACCTTTGCAACAGGAAGCAATTTGTAAACTACTTGAGGGTAAACGCGTGTATTTATTCAATTATATTAAGATTAATGCAAAGCTAACCGCGACATACACCAACATTATCCTTCGACAAGACAGAATTCCGATGAAACAGCATAGATACAGTACCACAAGACTGCATTCCCTGCCGTTATATAATCAAGAAAATGCGCAACAGAGGGAACCTTTGTGTCCAGGACTAAATCGATCAGAACCTCAAACGACTATTCGTCCATCCTTAGGATGTTTAGAATTATAATTGGTAGACTAGCAAGAAGCAACCACGACACACGATCACCACAGATAACAGCAAACAAACGAATTATTAAAGAAAGATGCTCACAGATAAAAAGGCACACGTTTTTGGAAATAAACACAGTACTCCAACAGTAAATAACTTAAAAGCTGCCAAGACATACAATAGATGTAGACAGAATCATAGACACAGCAAAAAGCATACCCTGACTTTCGCATAAAGATCTTGAAGAGTGTTGCTGTTATCTACGTCACAAACGTAGGTCTCCTTTTTTGGGTATCCCCGTCACATCCTCTGTCCAAATATGGGCAATAAGTTGACTAGCGAATACGCAGCGGGGAATCCTCTCACTGGAGATGATGAATGGGGAGGTGGGACCAGAGACCCGCAAAGTGTATAAAAGGAGAGGAGGGCTAAAACGCTGATGTGAATTCACAGCAACAGATATCAGATGAGCCACCGACCTGGAATTGTGGATACGCTTTTGAGAACAGGGAATCCCGCTTTATTTACTGAAGCGTTTTTCTGCAGCTGAGCGATTTTGGACGTAACTCACTATCTTGCTCCACAGCAGAAGCCGGGGTGCATCCCTTCCACACTCAACTCGTTTTCGCAACATCCACGGCGCCAACATGCTCAACAACATGGATTTAAGCTCCCAGGATTCGTTTTATTCTCAGTACGACAACTGTTGCGGCTCCTCCCCTGCGATTGAAACAGTTGGACCCGAAACGAGCCAGGACACCAGCACCGAGGCGCAGATGGGATCACCTGTTCAGTTCAGCGAAGGTGAGTGCGTCGCGAAAATCGGCACGTGTTTGCGGCTTTAAAACTGTGTAACCCGAAATACACAACAGTACAGCCACGTACTGCACGGATTGCTTGAAACTAGCGGAATGTAAGGTTGTTAAAAAGAAGGCACCGCGGTGCATAATAACTGTTGGATCCCCTGCTTACATAACAAATGCAGAATTAGCATTCATCCAGTGTCCGTGTTCGGCTTCAGGTGATCGGTTGTCGTGTAATAACGCTGTTTTTCATTTTCTTATCGAAAGGTGCTGCCATTGAACCCCCGACTGAGGCGTCGAATTTCTTTTTTGACCCCAGCGAGGGAACAAGCCCCACTTTCCCCTCTTCTCTTTCCTACTCCGGCAGCTTTTATGTGGAAACCACCCAGGGGGGCGCTTTCACCACCGAGACGTTGCTCAACATGATCACAGAAATCGTGGGGATTTCTACGTTGCCCATTTCGGAGATGCACCAGAGTCACCCGGAGAGCGCGAACCCGTCGCCTTCTCAGATGGACGATGCCCGAGGCTTCTCTGGCCCCGGGTTCCAGTCCACACCCCCAGCCTGCTCGACGGCCGCCACGTCTCCAGCGCTGTACTCGCAAACGCAGATGTGCTCGGGCTACCCCAACCTGCAGACGGGCATGCCAGCGCAGGAGTCTTCCCTGGCACAAGCTGACTTCGGCGCCGCGTCTCCAGATTTAACCCAGAAGCCACCCGAGCCACACACGGAGGCAGCCGCCTTCCCCGTAACAGTGAAAAGCGAATTCGAGAGCAGCTGCTACGAGTGGAACTCATTCGGTAAAAATCACGCCTATATCTCAACAAATTACGGTTCGGAAATGTTCCCCATGGCGGGAGACGGCTCCTCTGATCAACAAGTGGATTCGAAAGATTTCCTAGATTCCTTTTCTCCCGTCTGCACTACCTCAGAACTAATGAGCAAATTGGACACCGCAATCAAACAGGAACAGAGCTTCCTGGACGAGGGCCCACAGAATTTCCAGAGCCACCTGTTCGGCAGCTACCAAGCGCAGAACATGTGTGCTTCCAACAACGTGACCAGTGCGCTGAAACCCAATTTATTTCCTAACATGGGGATTCAGACTTTAACAAGCCAGTGTGATCTAGCTTACACCTCAACTACACTCTCCAGTGCCATCGATTCACTCCTGTATCCGTCCCTGGTGCCAGACGCCTACCTGAGGAGCGGCATGCAGGTAGAAAAATCACCCCGTGCCAGGAAAAGCCCAGCCAACCCGGGCGCACCGGCCAAGGAAAAGCCTTTCTCCTGCCCGATGGAAAACTGCGAGAGGCGCTTTTCGAGGTCCGACGAGTTAAACCGCCACCTCCGCATTCACACCGGCCACAAACCTTTCCAGTGCCGCATCTGCCTGCGAAGCTTCAGCCGGAGCGACCACCTGACTACCCACACCCGGACCCACACGGGAGAGAAACCGTTTTCCTGTGATGTGTGCGGCCGCAGGTTCGCCCGCAGCGACGAGCGGAAAAGGCACGGGCGTGTGCACTTGAAACAGAAGGAGAAGATGGAGCTGAAGCCTCAGATACTGACTGCTTGCTCGTTTTCTTTACCCGAAGGAATCTGAACGCGCACATGCTAGATATAAATGGCCTATTCGTGCATGATATCAAATCTTTCCGTCTTGGAAGATTTAAAGTGCTTTGTAACACAGCTGAGTACTGTTTACAAATGTCAGAGCAATGTTTGCGGTGTACAAAATCTGCCCACTTGAGTTGTCAGATCAGATTCTGGTGTAACTGTCAACGCCGACGGTAGAGAGAGAAGAAAGGAACCGAGTGAAAAGGGCTGGCATTATGGTTTGGAGCGACCGAGCTGGAAAGTGAATAATATTATTTGACTGCGATCCGTGTGCTGCTCATTCCAAGGTCTAAAGTTTGTGGTTCGAAGCAAGCGAAGAAAATTGATTGCTTACAATACATGATTGACAGTATTACTAAAACATTTCGCGACGGTCCAGTGCTAAGACCTCAACACCCATAAAGACAAAATGAGTTGTTTTGCTGCTACACTCAGTGTCCTTATACAATTATTCGTTGTAAGGAGAGAGAGAGAAAGAAAAATAAAGAGCTAAGAACTTAAATTCATCAACAGCCAGACTTGGAGACTTCAGCACTCGGAATCTGAACAGCTCCCACCTCAGTGCACATCGGATTGTACGAGAAGGGAAATAAGCATTGCACTTATAAATGACTTGCCGATTGAGTGTCATGTATGATTTGCTTTTTACGCTTTTAATCTAAAAAAAAGTTATGAAACTGTTTAATAAAATTTGCATGTTTATATTTTATAGGGAGCTAAATATTATATGTTTTGAAAAACCAAGGCATTGTGTCCCTGCTGTGAAAACATGTTTGAAACGCAGGGAAAGAACGAGAGACATTAAATTGTATATCTTGAATGTAAAATACCTCTTTGCCTCTAGTAAGAGGAGGTCATCTTTGTGCCAAGGTTTTAGAGAATCTGCTTTGCTGAATCAGTATATTGTTGAATGATAATTGTGCTGCATTTATATACATGCATATATAAATGATTTGTGGAATGCTACAGAATCAGTGGCAAATAAATATATTTGTAACAATCCTCTTAAATTGTATTTTTCTAATTGATTATGTATATTTCCAGAAACAATGTGTTTTTTGGGGAATTTTTTTAATAGCAATGATATGTATCTTTAAATTTACTCTCCATGTTCAGTATGTGCTGTTGAAAAGATACAGGGGTTTTGAGAGAATGAGGATGTTCACCATCAATGACATTATTGTCTTTATTGGTATATAGTTCATAGGTTCTAAAGACAAGTTTTGGAATCAATTCAGGTGGTTAAAATATTTTTGGAAACTAAACAGTAGTAACTTTCAATGTGGAACAAATAAATATATGTAAATGAACTATAACATTATAAGAAAATAAAACAGAAGCACATAAATATACAGTAATAAGTGGTACAGAATCTGAACCAACAGTTGCACAAGAGTGAAAAGATTCCTTAAATGTTCTAAAGGTTCAATTTATGATTGGAAAGTAGACTGTAGACATTTGTTTGGAGGGTTCCATGTTGATAGATCTTTACAGAGTCTGAAGCACAGAGCTAAACATTGTACTTGAGTAAATCAGTAGCACATATTGCTGCAACACAGTACTATAATGTATGGCAGTTGTTAATATATAATATTCTTGGTGTAGGACTGCTTGTTTCACTGTATATATTTGTACAAAAGTGATGCTTATCTTTTTAAGATGAAAAAAAATGTATTGACTCAAGGTTACAATGCAGCTTCACCAAAAATTAGAGTACTGTCATTAGAGAATGTAAAAATGAAATGTAACTTGGATTGCCTTAAGTTATATTAACTGTTAAACCATATATTTGTATATAAGTATCATTTTTTTTGTACAGAGCAAATTTGAATGTTGTTATTTTTATTACAAATGTTTATGAATAAAACATTTGTTTTTATCACATGGTGTAAGTGATTTTCTCCCATAGCAACTACAAATGACTAAAAAACATCAGCAAAAGGTGTGCAGTTCTGAAACTGAGGCTTTCTGTCATTGCTTGAACATGCCTATCATAATTTATGGAAATGCTGAAAAGGCAGGAAAATGGTATAGACCATACAGGCAGTTGTACTGTACTTCAGCAGCTTGTTGGAACCTGTGCTGCATCATACGCACATTTTGTAATCCTAAAGCATGATGACTTTTTATTTTGATGAGTCAGGTGTTAGTGACAGTGTTCACAGAAGTTAAATTAGATTTAGAAAGACTAACAACATGCCTAAACAAAGAATATAGGGCAGCAAACTCCACATAACATCAACTTCAGTAAATGCACATATTTGTATCTGGCTTCAAGATAAAGACATTTGATACAGTTACTGTGGCTGTAAGGATTATTCACAGAAGATTACATATCACCTCTTTGGTTAAAGAAGCACCCAGTGTAGCCTGATATATGATGCTTCCTTTATTTTTTTAACGAAAGAAGGAAAACTGTATAAGAAATTTGGAAAAGTCTACTGATTTTATTTCAGCAGAATCAATAGGTATTCTTTTTCTGCTGTGAAAATAGCAGTATCAGCACTCTGGAGTACAATTCTTATTGAATTCGTGCAATATGCCAAGATTGAAGCTTATTACAAACGTACTAACAGAGCCACCAATCATTTGGCAATGTTCCAATTTAAAATAATTGAATACAGTTCAAATATACTACTGTTTGTATGTTCAGGTGCAGCACACTTCAGTCCATTGATTTTTATACTGTACCTACAGTATGTTTTAGAACTGTATTAGCGTGATTGTTTTAAAACATTGCCAATGATGACAGACATTGTTTTATGAAAATATAAGATTTGTTCTTCATGTCTATGAGTGTCTAAGCTTGTTTTGTTCAGAGCCTAGCATGCCTCACTTTTCATTAGCCTTCACTCACTGTTGCAGAAATATATGTTATTCACTGATTTCAAGTGTGATAGTTTAGAAGCTATTTGGGACACTTCACAGTTGCTTTCAGAATAAGAACTGATTTAAAATGGGCTTTTTGTGTTTCTTTAATCATGTAGAAATTTGGTCAATACTACTTAAGAATGCACGTTTATCTGAGCAAAATGTTTTTAACAGCCCCGTGGAAAGAACAGCAAAAAGACTAACCTTGTTTTTTGCAGTTTTCTCAGAGTATTCTTTCAGCGGTCGTGTTTTCAGGAGCATTTGTACCACTGTCAGACAGTTTGTAGTCGTGTTCTCTTGGATGCACTGATTCAGGAATGATTCCATGCAAAAAAATAGATTAGCAGACACTGCTTTGACGGTGAGTTGGTTTGGTTAAAGACTGCTGGCACTTGGTGGGTTGGAGCTGAGCCTACGATTGTTAATTTTTTGGCTATCCTCATATGACCTCTTACCCCATTAATGGACCGTGTTTAATTAAAGGACAAGTAGGCCAATCACTTTATTCTATCGACGGTATATAGGGATTGGTGTTTTTAGGAACAAATCATTTTACAGGGATTCAGGAAAAAACACAACCCTCACCAGGACATGTGGAATGAAAATGGATAGAGATGAGAAATGTCAGATATAAAAATGAAATGAATTTACTGTAGGGCCAAAGGCTTTGAGAGGTTTATTATCATCATAACCTCACACTCATATTTGGGAGTGTGGAACAAGCTGCACTAGCAAGCTTTTTATCCTGAAATTCTGGATTTATTGACAGAATGACTGGAAGAAAACATTTAGTTTCCACAATCCAATTAAAATAGATTTGCTGAATTGTCTCCTTTTGTCTGAAAATTTTCTTCTATTCTGCTTTCCATATTAAATTTCTTATGTTCTAATGAACATGATGGTTGGTATTGGCATGAAACCTTTGCCCACAGCATTAAGTACAGTAAATCGTATTCCAATCAGCAAGGCCAACGTTTGCCCAGTACTTGCTTATTATTCGGAAGATGTCATCTAATTCATTCAGTCATTCATTCACTCACTCATTCAATGTAATCCAGTAACAGCTCTGTAACCAGGGAGTCTTCAAAATTCACTCTTCACTTTTTGCCTTTGGATTTGACAGATCCTTGAGTAACAGTGATGAGATATAGGAAAAATATATTTGTCTCCCCTCCCCTCCAGTCAGTGACACACAGGACAGGGGAGAAAACAGTGGCCCCACGATGAATGGACAAAGACCCAGCTAGCTGGAAGTGGTTGCAGCCACCACTGCTAACCCCTGCTGCCCCAGCTGCGTGTAAGATGCCATGCAAGAAGAGCAGCTGTTGGGCACTGTAGACGAACCAGTAAAGATTCATGCTGAAAAGAGAAGAAAAGAAACACATCGTTTCGCCCTTTACTTGTTCCTTCGCAGCCTACGCAGGCTTGACACAGCTACCTACTGTACGTGACACACTGTAGACGTCTAGCCAGGACAGGACTTGTCAGCACAGGAGTGTGCAGAGTCTCAGATTAACTGACCGCCTCATAAACATCTGCCCCATCCACAAACCTCGGGGGCAGCTGGAACTGGGTCTCAAAGCCCCTGGCCAAGGAATGGATCACGCCTGCTGAACACACCAGCCAGACTGCTCAGGAACCCAAACGTACTGTAAGGAGAAGGTTCAAAGGGCCATGGGTGAATTCGTTCTCCGTACCTCTGTTAAAGCCTGTGGCACCTCTGAATGTACCTTCAGTCCATCTTACTTTCAGAAATCACTCAGGGGAACTTGTTGTTATTTTTATTTTTGGATTCAGTTAACTGTACATCTGAGCTGCGCGCTGTCTACTTCTTCCCATGAGCTTCATTATAGCTCATTTAATGGTTGCATCTGGGAATGAAAATGTCTTTTTCTTTTATGTGTTATCAAGGACTAGCTCCATGGTTGTTCTTTTTATTCCCCATTGGTCGTGCATAAAATGTCATGTATTGGCAGTAATCTGTGTAGGCCTCATTTCACATTCACTGAATATAATTACCTAAACACCTTTCATTCACTTGAATATTAATGATAAAAAATACTCTGATGGCCTAAGAGCGCATCATTTTCACTTCTTTTGCTCAAGTCTGAAAGGTGATGTTGTTTGTTAATACATTAATCATATGTCCACAGTGTTGCTCGTGAGCGTGGATCCAGATATACACTTATTATTCACGAGGTGGTGGATGGGGCATTTTATTGTGTGTGATGTTGGTAGGACGATCAGATCTCCTTGTAAATCTGGACTATAGCGCAACCCTCAGCTTTAATGTCCTGTAACAGATATAGTCCAAATTTAACACAGGCAATAAAGGGGGGGGATAGATACATGCACTCCACCTTAACCCTGATACGCTGTCTGAGCAGTTTGTTGAAGATTGCCTGTGTATTAGATGAAGACCACAGACAGCTGACACAGGACACCTTTCCTGAAGAATTCCATTTGGACACCCCCAGCTACAAGGCTGGCTATTCTGGTCTGGACTCCCATTACTGGTCTGTACTCCCTCGTGCAAAGAAGGATTATCGATCCTATCAGTCCTGTTACATGTGATGTTCATTTCATCCCTTGATCCTATTGGCCAATTGTTGAGATGTTCTGAGTTCTCTTGATGATATGTTTGACTGTGTAATACAGCCCTGGGATGTAAATCTTTCACCTCATTCCTACGCCTCAATCGAGCCGGGTGTTTTATTGCAAGAATAATCGTGGCTTTTATAAAGCAAAGCTTTCTGTTGGCCATCAGGTTAGATTCAGGAACTATTAAATGAACTGCACCAGGTTTTCCCAATCTGCAGTTCAAACAGATGAAGCATGTACGAGACAGAAGGACACGCCACTAGTCTTGTGGAAAGGATTTGGATTCTATTACTGGACATCTCGCTGGATTGCGTTCTGCTGCAATCTGTTGTTCGTGGCAGCAAACGACATTTGCGGTGTGTAGGAAGCACGTATGTGATGCAACACATTGGCAGTACATTCTTAATGCCCACACACATGCGTAAAGAGAGCCTGCGTCTTTTTCTGACAAAGCGCCGATTGACTGCGCGCAGCTGCATATACAGTACCATGCAGTAGCATTTCAGTCCCTTCTGTGACCCACAGTCCCTGTGACAAAACAGAACGTAACCCTTCCCCTTCCACTGACATGATGCTGGGCAAGCAGTGTGCATTACTTGGAAATCTCTCGCTCTAAGTTAATGTGTTTTGTCCACTGTTGCATAGGTCTAGCAACCAAACACCAAGGCCTTCCTCTACTTGTCTAAAATGATATGCAGCCGGGTGCTCTTTGTCTAACATTTGATTATGGATTTTGAAATGAAGAATTGCAGAACTGTGACAGTGCTGTCCAAACCATTTCCAAATGGATGCACGGTAACCACGTCTGTCAATTTATAAAACGACTAGTGCCTATGTAGTAAATCTAAATATTCCCATAAATTCCACCGTAGTATCAAAAGTCTCATTTCTGTACTTCAAATTCTAGGGGATCTCCACCTCTAGATAGAATAAATGACCGCCACTGAACATCAATAAGCAAGAGTGCAATGCTGAAATCAGAACTTTGCTGGAAGTTAAAAACTTTGGAGTACCTTGTGACCCTGTGTTGTTATGTGTAGCACATGTTAGGAATATTATTAGGGTACCTTTCTCCCACCTGCTTAACATTGCTCTCTTATGCCTCTTGCTCTGCCTATCTGATACATGCCTAGCTCTCTTGTCATAACTAAATGAGCTCTGCATCAGCACATACAGTAGCTCCCATCATCCACAAAAGGCACTGTATTGCAACTGTATTCATTATTATTATTATAATTATAACAATAATAGTAATAATAATAACAATAACAATAACAACAACAACAATAATAATAATAATAATAGTAATAATATTTATTATTATTATTAACTTTGTAGATTTATGC